TGTGGTTCAACAACCCGTCCTCGACTCAAGTCCATTACATCCAGCGGTCGACCCCACAGGCGCATTCATAAATTTTTACTTGCTGTTCATTCAAAACGGGAATTTTCTCAAATATAAATTAATATTATAATACATTAGCATATTGTGCATATATAGGCATAGGTTAGGTTAGGTTAGGTTAGGTGTTTAGGTTCTGTTGGGGATTATTTGTATTTGTAGTACGTGGGTGAAGCATTTACAGCGTTGTGGTTCGAACAAAATTCGTCAGTGAAGCACTTGTTCCGGAAGTGTTCGAACGAAATCGTTCGAACGACAGTTGTGAGTCGTGTGTAAACCGTTTTTCATTCATAAACAGCTGGGGGTTTGGCGGGAGCATGGAATCACTTTTGGGTTTTTGTTTGGAGGACGGGCTGGGTTCAAACAAAAGTCGTCGGCGAAGCGATTGTTCCGGAAGTGTTCGGACGTCATCATTTGTGATTCGTGTGAAAAGCGCTTTTCATTCAAAAACAGGGTGGTTTGCTGGGTGCTTGGAATGGACTTTAGCCTTTGTTTATGAGAACGGGCTGCACAAACGGAAATGGGACATTTGGTCAATTTCACGAGCCTCTGCCATTTTGTAACACGACAGTGTTTGGCCTTGGGAAAAGTATCTTCAAAATGCGACGTGGCATTAAGAGGACGGTTTTTTTTCAAAGATATGCAAGTCACATCGTATCGTACACAAGATGATTCGTAAACGATTTTAAAACCAACCTAACCTAACCTAACCTAACCAAATCTAACTTAACCTTACCCAAGATAACCTGATGAGGTTACCTTGAACTTACCTTAATGCGGTTTACCTTAATTGGGGTTACCTTATCTTAATGAGGTCTGATTAAGATCTTCTACGCACTCTGTAATCCTTTTGTGCTACCGCCCACAGGATGAGTATGGGGTGCACAATACCGCTCACAGGATGAGTATGGGGTGCACAATACCGCTCACAGGATGAGTATGGGGTGCACAATACTGCTCACAGGATGAGTATGGGGTGCACAATACCACCCGCAGGATGAGTATGGGATGCACAATACCGCTCACAGGATGAGTATGGGGGTGCACAATAAAACCCACAGGATGAGTATGGGATGCACAATACCGCTCACAGGATGAGTATGGGATGCACAATACCGCTCACAGGATGAGTATGGGGTGCACAATACCGCCCACAGGATGAGTATGGGATGCACAATACCGCTCACAGGATGAGTATGGGATGCACAATACCGCCCACAGGATGAGTATGGGGTGCACAATACCGCTCACAGGATGAGTATGGGGTGCACAATACTGCTCACAGGATGAGTATGGGGTGCACAATACCACCCGCAGGATGAGTATGGGATGCACAATACCGCTCACAGGATGAGTATGGGGGTGCACAATAAAACCCACAGGATGAGTATGGGATGCACAATACCGCTCACAGGATGAGTATGGGATGCACAATACCGCTCACAGGATGAGTATGGGGTGCACAATACCGCCCACAGGATGAGTATGGGATGCACAATACCGCTCACAGGATGAGTATGGGATGCACAATACCGCCCACAGGATGAGTATGGGGTGCACAATACCGCTCACAGGATGAGTATGGGGTGCACAATACCACCCACAGGACGAGTATGGGGTGCACAATACCGCCCACAGGATGAGTATGGGGTGCACAATACCGCCCACAGGATGAGTATGGAGTGCACAATACACTGTCCGCCTCAGGCGTCAATAAATCATGGGTCAAATTATACCCTTTTCCACCCTTGTGTTTGGCAGTATGTGTCTCCCTCCCTCACCCCCTCTCTTCCTCCCTCACCCCCTCTCTTCCTCCCTCACCCCTCCCCCTTCCTTCCTCACCTTCCCCTCTCCTCTTCACGCTCACGATCTCCTGAGCACCGACACTTTCACTGTGATCGTACCTTTACCCGTGCTGTACCTGTGCCGTACCCTGCCGGTCACTTCATGTACGTGGGAGAGCATCAACTCCCAGCCTCCCCATTCCCCCATTCACTCAGCCTCCCCCTCCCTCATGGGGTGCACCTCCAAGGAGTACACTGTACCACTCACTGTAACCCTCCAACTTGACACTGTATTTTGCACCGTGCACGCAGCTTGTACCCGGCGTACCTGCTAGATCCTGGAGGTAGTGTAGCATAGAGACAGTGTTGTACCCTGGGGGGAAGCCTGGGGGCCAGGAGCAACAGCCTTGCCGGGGTAATGAACGTCCACCAGTAATGTTAGAGAGGTCCACACACCCCCCCTTCACGTCCAAGGTCGCTCCTTCCCCCCCCCCCTCCCTTTCCCCACCCCTTCCCCACCTCCCTTAGTCTCTTCATCCTGGTTCTTCCCCCCACCCCCAACCCCTCTCTCTCTCTCTCTCACTCCTCCACTCTCCCTCTCACCCCCCTCTACCTCCCTCTCTCACCCCTCACCCCTCCCGCAGGCCTTCATCCCTATTGCCTCATGTCTTCAATAGCCCTCTAGCACAATGCCATGCTCTCAGCCACCTGAAGTTGTTCCAGTCACCTGAGGTTGTTCCAGTCACCTGAGGTTGTCCCAGTTACCTGAGGTTGTTCCAGTTACCTGAGGTTGTTCCAGTTACCTGAGGTTGTTCCAGTTACCTGAGGTTGTTCCAGTTACCTGAGGTTGTTCCAGCCACCTGAGGTTGTTCCAGTCACCTGAGGTTGTCCCAGTTACCTGAGGTTGTCCCAGTTACCTGAGGTTGTTCCAGTTACCTGAGGTTGTTCCAGTTACCTGAGGTTGTTCCAGTTACCTGAGGTTGTTCCAGTTACCTGAGGTTGTTCCAGTTACCTGAGGTTGTCCCAGTTACCTGAGGTTGTTCCAGTTACCTGAGGTTGTTCCAGTTACCTGAGGTTGTTCCAGTTACCTGAGGTTGTTCCAGTTACCTGAGGTTGTTCCAGCCACCTGAGGTTGTTCCAGTCACCTGAGGTTGTTCCAGTCACCTGAGGTTGTTCCAGCCACCTGAGGTTGTTCCAGTCACCTGAGGTTGTTCCAGTTACCTGAGGTTGTTCCAGTTACCTGAGGTTGTTCCAGTTACCTGAGGTTGTTCCAGTTACCTGAGGTTGTTCCAGTTACCTGAGGTTGTTCCAGTTACCTGAGGTTGTTCCAGTTACCTGAGGTTGTTCCAGTCACCTGAAGTTGTTCCAGTCACCTGAGGTTGTTCCAGTTACCTGAGGTTGTTCCAGTTACCTGAGGTTGTTCCAGTTACCTGAGGTTGTTCCAGCCACCTGAAGTTGTTCCAGTCACCTGAGGTTGTTCCAGTCACCTGAGGTTGTTCCAGTTACCTGAGGTTGTTCCAGTTACCTGAGGTTGTTCCAGCCACCTGAAGTTGTTCCAGTCACCTGAGGTTGTTCCAGCCACCTGAGGTTGTTCCAGTTACCTGAGGTTGTTCCAGTTACCTGAGGTTGTTCCAGCCACCTGAAGTTGTTCCAGTCACCTGAGGTTGTTCCAGTCACCTGAGGTTGTTCCAGTTACCTGAGGTTGTTCCAGCCACCTGAAGTTGTTCCAGCCACCTGAGGTTGTTCCAGTCACCTGAGGTTGTTCCAGTCACCTGAGGTTGTTCCAGTTACCTGAGGTTGTTCCAGCCACCTGAAGTTGTTCCAGCCACCTGAGGTTGTTCCAGTTACCTGAGGTTGTTCCAGCCACCTGAAGTTGTTCCAGCCACCTGAAGTTGTTCCAGCCACCTGAAGTTGTTCCAGCCACCTGAGGTTGTTCCAGCCACCTGAAGTTGTTCCAGCCACCTGAAGTTGTTCCAGCCACCTGAAGTTGTTCCAGCCACCTGAAGTTGTTCCAGTCACCTGAGGTTGTTCCAGCCACCTGAAGTTGTTCCAGCCACCTGAAGTTGTTCCAGCCACCTGAAGTTGTTCCAGCCACCTGAAGTTGTTCCAGCCACCTGAAGTTGTTCCAGTCACCTGAGGTTGTTCCAGCCACCTGAAGTTGTTCCAGCCACCTGAAGTTGTTCCAGCCACCTGAAGTTGTTCCAGCCACCTGAAGTTGTTCCAGCCACCTGAAGTTGTTCCAGTCACCTGAGGTTGTTCCAGCCACCTGAAGTTGTTCCAGCCACTTGAAGTTGGTCCAGTCACCTGAGGAAGTTGTTCCAGTCACCTGAGGTTGTTCCAGTCACCTGAGGTTGTTCCAGTCACCTGAGGTTGTTCCAGTCACCTGAGGTTGTTCCAGCCACCTGAGGTTGTTCCAGTCACCTGAGGTTGTTCCAGTCACCTGAGGTTGTTCCAGTTACCTGAGGTTGTTCCAGTTACCTGAGGTTGTTCCAGTCCTGACTGCATGATCGCCCACTTTTCCCCCAGGTCACCTTCCACCCTTTTGAGGTTACCCCCTCCCCCTCCTCAGGGCACTTCCCCCCCCCCTTCTCAGGGCACCCCCCCCCCCCCCCCCCCCCCCGCCCATCAGGTCACCTCCCCCCCCCCACTCAGATCATCCCCCTTTGCAGTAACCTCGTTATAGCGACTCTCAGGGGTGTAGTTACTTCCCCCTCTCTCCCTCCCTCCATCTCCCCCCTATTCCTTCTCCTTGCTTCGTTGTCACTCTCTCTTTCTTTGTGTATCTCTCTCTCACACAGTTTCATCTTCTATTCATCTGCCTCTACGTCTTGCTGCCTCGTTTAGGGTCTTATCTCCTAGTTTGTTTATGTCGCGTTCTGTCTACCTGCCTGACTGCTTCCTTGCCTGCTTGTCTGTCTGTCTGTCTGTCTGTCTGTCTGTCTGTCTGTCTGTCTGTCTGTCTGTCTGTCTGTCTGTCTGTCTGTCTGTCTGTCTGTCTGTCTGTCTGCCTGACTGTCTGCCTGCTTGTTTGCCTGTCTGCCTTCCTGCTTGCCTGCCTGCCTGCCTGCCTGCCTGCCTGCCTGCCTGCCTGCCTGCCTGCCTGCCTGCCTGCACCCGTGCTGGCCTCCGTACGAGACAGGTCTGCCTGCCACAGTCACACTCAGCGGCCGGCAGCCTCCAGGCGCGCACGCTCCCCAGGACCACACTGGACCGAGGACAGGTACAACACTGTTGACCCGTGCACGATAGCTAGGCCAGGGACCGGCCAGTATGAAGGTCTGTCAGTGTGTCTGTGTTAATAGTGTGAGGGGTGTCAGTACTGTAAGGGTGTCAGTACTGTGAGGTGTGTGTGTCATTTTTTTGGGAGTAAAGAGGAAGGAGAGGCATAGGTGAAGGGTAGAAGTGGGAAATACAGTGAGAGGTATGAAAGCAGGCGGCAGACTGTCCGCCTTGCTGACACGATGTGTGGGTGTTGGCAGCTAAGCTAAGCTGGCTCCCTCTTGTCAGGGAGCTGTGAGTGTGTGAGAGGTTCTTCACATGTGTTTCACCATATATGGATTTCTATAGATGAATACTGTGTAGCATTCATATATACACACTCCCATGCTTTTACACATTTAAAGTTGTTCTGTTTAAGGCTTTTTATTTTATCATTATTAGTATTATTATTATTATTATTATTATATATATATATATATATATATATATATATATATATATATATATATATATATATATATATTTGGGGTGTGAGTTTTCAGTTGCATATTGTCCTGGGGACCATTCAGGCTTGTTCGCATTTGTGTTCCTCACGTGTGCCCCAAAGAATGAGGTGATTTGGTAAAATGCTATGCCCAAGATTACTATCCGAGTGCCGGCGGTGGGGTGGTTCAAATAGCCTCGGCTATCACCTCATTATGTCCGGTCGTGATGGTCAAGTGGATTAAGGCGTCTTGTACATACCAGTTGCGTTGCTCCTGGGAGTATGGGTTCGAGTCACTTCTGGGGTGTGAGTTTTCAGTTGATATATATATATATATATATATATATATATATATATATATATATATATATATATATATATATATATATATATATATATATATATATATATATATATATATATATAAAATTTTATGTATGCAATTATTGGGGGAGGGATTTCTGGTCAGTATTTCATCTGGGAATTATATACTGTGGGGCGGGGTTTTCATCTAGCAAATCGAGGCTCTTGGGCCACCAGTTGTGGGAGCGGGGCGTCTCATCTTGGAGTAATCTTTCAAACATTGGGTCCTCTAACATTTCGATAGTGTTCCACACCCTGATGGCTTGGTGCTGTAGTCTGATGTTTAGTGGCTGTATGTTCAGGAGTTTATGGAGCTCCTGGATTGTCTGATCATATGGTGGACGGTGTTTTGCTGCTCTCCTTAGCGCCTTATTTTGTACTGCTTGCAGTTTCTGCATGTTAGTTTTCTTTATGGTGTGTAGTGGTACTGGGGGATACTCTAGATGTGGCCGAACTAGAGCCTTATATAGGTGGATCTGAATGTTTGTACTGAGACTTAGGAATCTCCTCAGTTTTCCTAAGGCTGCTTTGGCTTTGTTTAGTCGGCCCTTTACGTGATTTTTTATCACTGTTCTATTTATCATGAGTCCCAATATTCTGCCTACCTCCGTATATTGGATCGGATAGTTGTCAAGGATAATGGGGTCTGGGTTTGTTTTTGCAATGTGTATTATCTGGAACTTTTGTTAGTTTGTGCTTATTTTCCATTGCTTCTCAAAGTTGTTTGTGAATTAAATTTGATGGTCCCAGTTGGCATATTATTTGAGTGACATCGTCAGCGTATGTGATGTATTCTCCATGTTGGGGTTGGGGCAGGTCAGCTGTATATATGTTGAACAGAGTGGGAGAGAGGCAGCTTCCTTGTGGTACTCCACTTTTCAAGTTCTATTATATCACCCAAGTAGCTGCCGATATAGAGCCTAGCAGTTCTGCTGTCTATAAAGCTGCAGAGAGTAGCAGTATATCTCTGTGGGAGTCCTTGCTCAGATATCTTATATTTTAGGCCTGTGTGCCAAAGTTTCGAAACGTCTCTAAGCCGCATATAACACTGATCTTTTTTCGACACTGCGTTGGCTATATGCTGGTAGATCAGGGCTATAGCTGTATGGGCCCCTCTGCGGTGTCTAAACCCATGCTGCCTGGTGTTATACTTCTCTTCCTCTTCCATGTACTTCACAAGTTATTGTGAAGTACACAATATTTTGATTATTTTTTCGAATATTTTACCTGGTACTTCGAGGAGGGAAATTGGCCTGTAGTTTTCAGTTTGGGTTGGGGGGTTTACCTGGCTTGGGGATTACTCATATTGTGGCATTCTTGAAGTATGTGGGGAGTAGTTCAGATGCAAGAGCTGCGTTTATTATACGTGTGTATTGATGGAGTACAGTTACTGGTAGGTTGGTTAATACCATTTTGTTTATTCTGATATTGGCCGGCGCCTTGTTCTTGAAACCTATAATTGTTTTATGGACCTCTGCAAGGGTTGTGTGTTTCATAAGGTGGCAGTCATTACAAATGTTGTTAAGGTCTATTGTTTGCGTCGGGAGTAGTGCTGCAGCTCTGTTATCGACTTGACTTGTAATTTCCCTTCATTAATGGGGCAAAAGTTTACATTTTCTTCCGGGTTTATCCTGAATAATTTTTCCCAGAACTTCCTGGATTCCTGTTCTTGCTCTCTCTCCTCATAGAGTTTGTTTCCTGAGGCGTCTATGATGTAGGGTGTTTCCTCAGAAGAGCTTCCCATCAGGGTCTTTACTTTTTCCAGAACTTTCCTGGGTTTCTGTAGTCGATTTGAATTTTGCTTATTAGGTCATCCCATTGTTTGGTGTACCCTGTTTTGCATAGATCTTGCAGCATATCTTGTAGTTCCCTTTGTAGTCGTTTGCGCTCGTCTGTCCACCCATTGTGCGTTATGAGTTGTAGAAGATTGTTATATCTGGTTTGTTGTGCTGTGAGCGCCTCAGTGGCTGGGGTGTGTGGGAGCGTTATATGGTGAGCTACGGGGATGTGATCATTCATGCATTTTTCTATGGTGCTAATCCATGTATTTAGCTCTGTGTTTGTGCATGATGTTTCCTTTTAATTAAAGCCTGTGACTGATTTTCTGAGCACCGCTTTTGAACGCTTCCCAGTCAGTTTTAGTGTACTGAAGTCTTGGTGGTGAGGGATTCTGAATACGGTTAGTTGATAGTGTCATTATTATTGGTAGGTGGTCGCTTGTGCTCACAGGACCCCTTTCTATGTGGGTGTTTAGGAAGTGGTGGTTGTTTGACAGTGTTATGTCTGGTTTACCACTGTGGCCTTGTCTGCCGTAAGTTGGGAAGTCCGGGCCCAGGTGGGTTAGATTTCCGTTCCTTATCATATTGTGGATGGCTTCTCCTGCTTGGGTGTTCCTTCCATGTCCCAGTGTTCTGTGCTTGGCGTTCAGATCACCCAGGAAGTAGGCAGGTCTGTTCCTTCTGATGAGTTGCATGATGTCGGCAAGGGGAAGGTAAGGACGTCTTGGTGGTTGGTAACACGTTCCTATGAAGATTATACCTTTCGTAGTTTGGAGTTCCATTGCCAGGAAGTTTTCTTGAAAATTATCTAGAATTTTGTGTGGAATATTTCTCCTTGCCGCAATTGCTGCTCCATCATTGACCTGGTCAGCTCTGTTGACCTGGTAAATTTGTAGTTGAAGATCTTTATCTTCTCACCTTTTTCCCTATCTTATCCCTTTTTCCCCGTGGCTGTTAATGAGTATTATATCTGGCTCTATTTCTCTGTACAAGTTAGTGAGTGCCACTGCTCTGTGCGGAGTCCAGCTTAGAACATTGTGTTGAATTATTGTTAATGACTGGATGGCTATGTTGAAACTGATCGGTCTCTTCCACATCGTGGATTGTTTGGGATCGATGCGTATCCGTTGCGCATGTGTTCAACATATTGTTGCTTATCTGGTGAATGGTTATGGGGGGTTTGGTTGAAGGCATGCGGCGTTATGCGTTCATTAAGCACCGGAACTGTCGTGCTGGAATTTTATTCGATGAGTTTTTATACGCTCTTGGGAGCGTATAAAACGCTCCAAGAGCGTTTGGAGCGTTTTATATCGCTCCAAACGTACGCTCATGCGGGTAACTGTGTTGGTCTTGTTTGTCGAGAAGAATTCCATCTTGACAAACAAGCCTTTGATACAGTACCACACAAGAGGCTAGTGAAAAAGCTGGAGATGCAGGCCGGTGTGAAAAGGTACTCCATTGGATACAGGAGTACCTAAGTAACAGGAGACAACGAGTCAGTGTGAGGGGTGAGGTCTCAGATTGGCGAGACGTTACGAGTGGAGTTCCGCAGGGGTCAGTCCTTGGACCTATAATGTTTCTGATATATGTAAATGATCTCCCAGAGGGTATAGAATCGTTTCTCTCAATGTTTGCTGATGATGCAAAAATTATGAGGAGGATTGAAACAGAGGATGATAGTAGGAGGCTACAGGACGACCTAGACAGACTGAGTGAATGGTCCAACAAATGGCTGTTGAAGTTCAACCCGAGTAAATGCAAAGTAATGAAACTAGGCGGTGGAAACAGGAGGCCAGACACAGGATACAGAATAGGAGATGAAGTTCTTAATGAAACGGGCAGAGAGAAAGATCGAGGAGATGATATCACACCAAACCTGTCTCCTGAAGCCCACATAAAAAGAATAACGTCTTCGGCATATGCGAGGCTGGCTAACATCAGAACGGCGTTCAGGAACCTGTGTAAGGAATCATTCAGAACCTTGTACACCACATATGTAAGACCAATCCTGGAGTATGCGACCCCAGCATGGAGCCCGTGCCTTGCCAAGCACAAGACGAAGCTGGAAAAAGTCCAAAGGTATGCCACTAAACTAGTCCCAGAACTAAGAGGCATGAGTTACGAGGAAAGGCTGCGGGAAATGCACCTTACGACCCTGGAGGACAGAAGAGTAAGGGGAGACATTATCACAACCTACAAAATCCTCATGGGAATCGACCGGGTAAACAAGGATAAACTATTCAACACTGGTGGGACGCGAACAAGGGGGGACACAGGTGGAAACTGAGTACCCATATGAGCCACAGGGACATTAGAAGGAACTTTTTCAGTGTCAGAGTAGTTAACGAATGGAATACATTAAGCAGTGATGTGGTG